TAATGTCAGCCACCAACAGTAAATTAGGGAGAAAAAATTCAAATCAATCTAAAACAATGCATCAAAGACAATGTCTAAGTCTAAAAAATCGAGTTCACAATTACTTTTTGTATTGAAAATATGTCATTTTTAAATTAAATTTTATATTATTACGAAATCACTAACATCATTCATGAATTTGGCAATTAAAGTGTTAAAATCCTTTAATTTTCTAAACAATTTAACAGTTTGATCAGGACTGAGGTTGATTAACATTAAAAATGTAAACAAATATTTACAGTGCTTAGCATATATGAGTAAACCCCTCACAAATCTTTCATTTAAAATGATATTTTATAGGAAGCTTTACAGTATTATATTTGTGCATATACGTTAGTCAGTACTAAAGTCAAATCTGGAGCTAATCTAACAAAATGACGTATGACAATGGACCAAAATTAGTACACCCAAATTGATATGTTAGGGAAAAAATGTATATAAAAAAAATTTTAAGAACAAAATTCAAGAGAAACAAAAAGAATTCTAAAATTGTGTTGAAAATATGTAGTTTGTATTTTTCCGCCAATGTTTTGCATGAATTTAAATGTATTATCTTCAAATTTCTAAAGATATTCAGTGACTAAAACATTGTTTATAAATACATCCATTAATTAAATCTGTTTTGTTTAAATGCACCAAAATATATGACCTATATTCATAAATATAGGGTGTACTCAATTATGGTGAGCACTGTATTTGATGCATTTTACAGCAGTTTAATTTAGTGGATGTTTTCATCCCTAACATAACAAAAGCATAGTAAATTCGCCTAGAGTGTATTGTCGAGTTTATTTAAAGTAAAAAAATAAATAAATGAGATTTGTCACCAAAAATCATTCTGCTAGCTGAAACCCAAAAAACATTATGGCCAAATTAAGACTCAAAATCCCCCCAGAGTGGATGAAAACATCACTAACAGTACATAAAGGGTAAGGGATTATTAATTTAAGCTGCTAATCACATGAATTGTATTGCTCGCTAAGGTCATCAACTTTGGCTGTTTCTCATTATGCATTCTTCAGAATTCTTGCGTCGTTGTGTTTTCATGTAACGTCATCATTAACCGTCAAAGTTCAGTTTCAAAGCTCAAGACCCCAAGAACGGAGGACATGTGAAAGTTCCCGAATGTTTTCTTGATATCAAAGGATGCAGACTTGAGTGCAAAACTCGCTCGAGAAGTCCCAGAAGTCATTGCGGCTGAATTAAGGAGGTGGGAAGCGCCGGATCGTATACCTGTTTATTATTAAGAGTTCAGTAACATAACTTATTTATGTTAGGAGTTTCCCTAAATGAGACGGTGAAATTAAATATTAACATGAAAATCTCAATAAAGGCATAAGCACATTATTGTTGAAATTCGTATTAAAATATGTTTTATTTGCATTGTGCAATGTATATTTCTAAGTTTTTTGTGCATGTTAAATATATTGAAAAGGGGAAAAACAATAAATCATTGTATGAACGCTGTAATGTTTAAATATTTTTCGTTAAAACTACGGGAAGGTCATGTGACCATCAGGAAGAACGCAGCGTCTCATTTCTCACAGGGCGCATTCTCAGTTTTCACGGTCTCACAAGTTCGCTTTTCCAAGGTGACCTGGCAAGACCGGTCTCCACAAAACGCAAGTCCGTTCTCTGCGTTCTTGGAATTGAGAAACAGCCTCCATCTGACTGGAAGATTTAACTTTGTTATATTTTGGTAAACGAGTCTTTGATAATTGATATGAATGAAAAAAGTCAAATTTGACCAAAAAAGGCGAGTCTGAAAAAAGCATGAACACTCTCGCAAACATAACTGTCACTGGGGAATAAGCAGTATGTATGAAAATGCAACAATTGCCCACTAATTTTTTTTTTTTTTACATCAAATCGTTACAAACAGCTTTATAGGTGTTTTACAGCCTAGTTACAGCCCAGACTATAAAACATTTGAATGAGATTGCACAAATGTATGAATAAGCCACTTATTTCCCACAATTTAATACAGTTAAAAAATATGTTAAGAAATTGTTTGCTTGAAAAGCTGCCATCCACATTAACTTTTAATTTAACATTTTGGCATTTTCATTAATGCAATTTTATCTATAAGAATTTGTAATGTTTGCTTTAATAATTGTCACTGTCGCATGAGTAAATTGTTTTAAAACATGTGAATACTGTACTACTTTATATGATTTAACTACTAATGATTGATGGTGACTGTTACCAGTGGGGTAAAGTAATTAATTACAAATACTCAAACTTCTGCAATTGAGTAGTTTTCTCAGAACTTTACTTTACTAAGTAGTTTTTTTTTAAATGTGTACTTTTACTTTCTCTTAAGTACATTGGTAGTGCAGTGTCAGTACTTTTACTCTAAAAGTAAAAGTAGTCACTAATAAAAGACCTGCAGTCACTGCTTTATTTTTTCTTGTCTATGGGGATTAGGAAAATCAGCCCTGTGATTAGTGTCCAATCAAATCGCACATAGAAGGTAAATCGCATCATACTGAACTACCTCAAGACATGTACGATTTAAAATTCCAACAAACTGTTTGGAAGCAATAAAAGTGTCTAAAATCTTTAGAAGATGTTCAAAACCGTTACACAAATTGACCCAGAGACTGTTTAGATGCATGTCACTAATGAGAATATCACAGATGTTTATTATATGATGACCGAAATGGCCTTAAACACCCAGCAGGCACAAGATGTCAACATGACGTCAGATTGAAGTTGTACCCCAATGTCGTGGGGACGTTGCATTATGTTTGAACTCAACATCAGCTCGACGTAAATGTCTAAAGTCCAACCTAAAATCAACCAAATATTAATGTCTATTGACTTTACAGCCTGACGTGGACGTTACCACTATGACATCTATCAGACGCTGGATTTTGGTTGCCATACCTTACGAATAAATCAGTATTCGACGTCAATATGATGTTGGTTTAAGATGTTGGCCTGATTTTGAATTTTGATCACTTTCTAACACGACCTAAAATCAACCAAATATCGACATCATTTCACGTCGTCATTGGACATCAACATAACATTGTTCTTAGACACTAACTAGACATTGAATTTTGGTCACCTGACATCACAACTTAAATCTAACTTTGGTGTCTTATGACATTGTGTGCCTGCTGGGCAATAACTAAATGCACTACCGAATGTTACGTTTACACACATCCACAAATTACATGTAAATGCATCAGCTTTTTACAAAATAATACTCACTACTCTTGAGTACTTTAGAAAGGTCTACTCTTTACCCATACTTTGAGTAATATTTACAACAGATACTTTTACTCATACTACATTGTTAGACACGTAATGATACCTTTACTTGAGTATGATTTTTTTTAGTACAATTTCTACCACTGGCTGATACTATTGGATGTTGTAAACAACAAACAACTTACCTAATAGTTTCTCTTTATTCCTCAAAAGACAATTTTAAAAAAGTCTGGAAAAAAACAAACATTCTGAAACAACATAACTGAGATTTCAATTATTAAAAGGAGCTCTGAAGGTGCAACCTTTGAACAATAAAAAGCCTTTTGGGAGATCTTAAAAGGTTCAATGTTCACTATTCAATTTATTTTATGCGCTCTATTTCTCTGTCATGACTTGCTGGTGAATTTATTAAACCCATCTAGGTCAGTGGAACAAATCCTCAAACTGTTACCTGTGCATCCAATTTCTGTCTGTCCATTTACCTGCAGGATGCGTTAGCATTTTGAGCCGGACCACCACAGTTATACATGCATTTAATGTTCTAATCGTTATATCTACTCCAATTGCAGCGGAGAGGGAGCTACAGACTGCCGAGAGCAGAGATAATATTGACTTTTAAATGCTTGTGTGCATTTTCACAACATTTATGCACTTATAAGAACCGCAATACTGAATGCTGTTGACTGCAGTGTCTCTGCACAGCTGCCAAATCCTTTAACACTCTGCCACGTTCTTTGTGTTCACTATCAGCTTGGACGTGTTAATGTTCACACTCGTACACAATAAAGCGAACAGTGAATGTGTAACTAATTCACACAGCAGCTTGTGTTAATATTTAATTGATCAACAAACAACTCCAAAATGTATTAATACCACATATACCACAAGCTGGGGTTTTATCTGAGGAGACATGCATATGCCAACAATAAGCTGAGAAAACTTTGATCGCAGCTGCATTTGATGTGCAGCTTATAACCGAATGTTTTCAGTATGTGTCTTTCATTATTGAAAATGTCTCTAAAAGGTTGACGGTGAAAATGCATGGGAGCGCAGTGTCAAAATAAATTCTGTTCGCTCCTTCCTTTTTTTTGCCTCAAGCTGAAAGTCAAGATTTCCTTCCAAAGAGCAGTTCCAAGGAGTGTGGTTCGCTGTCCTCCCTTCCCAAAACAGTTCTGTGGAAAAGATTTAACAAGCAGCTTACTGCTGGGGGAAGGGATTGGGAAGAGAGGGGGGCCCCTCAGGGTCACCAAGATGTGAGGGCCTCTCACTTACACACACACTACAGACTCTGAATGTTTTATTGGTGTGTTAAAAAGTGTTTACATTGCAAAAGCATTAATAAATATTCTATACATATCTTCATATACATAAATATGTACACACATACAGACAATAAAGGTCTCGCACTTTGGCAGGAGAAAAAAAGAAAACAGCCGAGCAAGGGAAAGCAGCCAAAAACCACATCTACTAGCGCTGGAGTGGATAGAGGGAGCAGAGAGAAAAAAGAGAGGGAGAGGGATAGAGAGAGGGAACGGGGAGGGATCAGTTTCTAGGCTAGGCTGTGGTTGGCTCTGCTGATGGATGGACTCGGGATGGATCGAGTTACACCATTTGCCGTGCATTAGTTTGTTTTTCCCCGCTCAGAACGGACAGAGACACTTCAAGCTTGACTCAGAGTTGTTGCGATCCAAATCGCGTAAAGAAAATCACGGATTCAGATGAGGTGAGTTAATTTTGTAGATAAAATGTGACGTTGCGAGCGCGTGAGGTTGAGAAAATGGGGGAAACGAGAAGAAGCGACAGGGAAAAGATTTCCAAAACATCAGAAGTACTCTAGGTGCTGCGCAAAAATAGAACTGGAGCTATTTTTATTCACCCGTTTACACAAATACGGATTGTTTATAAGTGGAGAGGCGCACGCGCGTAAAGTTCTTCATTCTGAAGAGTAGATCTCTTGAGGTAATTACTTAGTTGGTTTTTATTTGGTTTGGGTTGTATTGGTTTGGTTTGGTGAATGACGGGGGGATGGTACTACAGGAGAGGGAGGGTCTTGGTGCTATTTGATCGGTGAGCTTTTGAAGATCACAAAGCTTTATCCCGAGGACGAGCTGGACGAGCCCTTCGGGCTCTGGGAATTGTTTTGCGTGCTTCGGATAAAACAAACACATGGGGATCTTCTGGTTTTATGGACCGAGCTGCACACATGCTGTCTATCTACACTGGATTTAATACCGTGAATCACTTTGGAATATAACCGGGGAGTGTTTTGTAGTCTACATGCCCGTTTGGAGAACATTCAGGTAGGATTTCTGCTTTCCCTTTTACACTTTGTTGTCACTTTGAGTTGACTATAATCTTGATTACAACTTTTTTCTTGTTTTTTTTTTGTTAGTTTTTTTTTTTTTTTTTTTTTAATTAGACCAAACGTCTGGAGGAAAGTAGTATTGCTTTTAGCATTATTAATGAAAAAAGGCAGTGCATTACTGTCACATCCTGTTGATACAGAGGGTTATTTCTGGGAATTATATATTCCTTTTGTATTGTTGTTTTTTCCAAATTATTATAATAGAAACAAAAATATAAAGTAACAAAATAGGGCAGATATTACGCTGAGACTGAAAAAAATAAGAAAGAAAAAGGAAAATTCCCCGACTATTACAAATAGGCAATAAGCTTACAAAACATTTTAAATTTAAATAAAACAATTCATGATAGGCTACATATATTTAAAGAATATTGTACACCGCTTTCTATTTTAATAGTGTTATTGGAATGTTTTTGTTTAAATTGACAGCACATGTATGCTAGAACATTGTATCCATGAATGCCCCTCAAAATCGGTCCCAGTTAATTTCTGACATTGGATGAAACAGATGCACTTTAGACTCCCACTGTCCCGTAATGATGAGGGATCGAAGTTCGCATTATAATATACAAGGAAGATTTAGTGCCTTAAATTCATCTAACCTTTGCCTGGGAGTTATGTGATCTCATTCAAACTGATAACTTTTAAACAACAATATTTCTGCTGCCTGTATTATGGTCCAACGTGAAGGGAGGGAGTTGCGCTGCTGTTGTTGGAGCCCACGGTCATGCATTAACACAATCAATTTCCCAGCAGAAGCCATTACCGACCCAACACTCCTCTGTTGTCTTTATGCATTTACTGCAACTCAAGAGATTCGTCACAGCTCGGCTCCAGCGTGAACACTTTGATTCACATGCTCCTTCTGAGACGGATTTCGGGTCCGGTTCCGATCTGAGAGAGTATTGTTTGAAGATGTTTTTTCTGTTCTTCTTTACTGAATCCGTAACTGTTGATTGACAGCCGTGATGCGCTTTCATAAACACATGTAGCAAATGAAGCGAAATAAATTAGGCGTTACGTTGAGTGGCAGCCGTCAAAAGAATGAATGAACTAGTGAGTGAAAATGCACAAGCACAATCAAATGTCTTTTGTTTTTCTCGTGCTGATGCAAAAAAAAGCTAAGGCAAATGTTAACGGCAAAACACGACTTAAAATAAATGTAACAGATTAGTGTAGCCCATTTAAACGGCGTTCCTTCATTGTCTTTACTTTTTTCATGGATTAAAAACTTAAGTTTAAATTTAGTACATCTGTTTCATGTCCATGGAAAGAAATTTATAAACATGTCTTATACCCTCACCCCGCTTTATTTTAATATAGTAGTTCACAAATGTAAACATAATGGGGGACAAATGCATACGCTAAACAACAAAGGCTAATGCTACATGTTTGTGCTGAGCTTTTGGTTACATTGTTATGTCCCCATAAGTACAGTAAACATGAAATCACCTACTTTGTTTGAAGCAGAAAAAGATTTCATTGAGGTAAACTGCTTCATAAACAAACCAAATAGTGTCTTGATTAAAATTCAAAAAGCAGACAGACATCCATGATCAACCTAAGGGTCAAACATTGAAAATATAATTCGCTTATGAAAAGCATCTCCAAAAACTGTCACCTTAGACGAAACCACTGTTTATGTAGGCTAATAATAATTTCACCCCATAATTCATTTTTAAGTTGGTTAAATGATGTTAGAACTCACCCGCCTCTACTATCCACTACCCATTACTTGCTGTTTGACCATATGGAAGTTAATGAGAGATGCTGTTATCCTAATGCACGCTTTTGTTAATTTGTGCTTCACAAATGTGTGACATTGAGTTTAAGAGCTCTGTCTGTGTGAAACTATAAACACACAGCGCAAGAGTGTGCAGCCCCCATGCGTCTCCTCTTATCTCTGCTGAACCTGTCAACCCTCTTTCAGAGATGCCTGATAAACATCTACCTCTTCTGAAACCTCACCGTAAAGCAGTTTCAGCACTTTTCATGTGGGTGTGTGAATAAAGTCACTCACAACAGCTGGCCACAATTGTGTCCACTAAACCCACGCCAGTCCTGCTGTCAAGTGTTCAGCCTCGGTCAGGCTTGAGTAACTGATTTAACCTTTTAAAGCATGGAGGTCTCCTCGCTGGCCTGGACTGAACGGACCCCGATCTCACTATTGTTCCTTTAACATCCACACACACACACCTGCAGGAAGGGGCTTTTGGGGGAATGGGGGCTGGGAGTGGAGCTGCACAGGTGGGGCAGAGATCTGTTTTACAGCTGTGGAGTAACAAGTTGTGACTCCTCAGCTGTAATCCCACTGTAAACAACTTTATGATTTCAGTGCTCTTGTGTGGGAGAGCTCTAATCTCAGCGTGAGTGTCTGAAACCACACATATCACAACTGTTGAGTTGTGAACACGCATCTGAGGGGCCATTTCACAACATCATTTTCCATTTATATATATCTTTCTTATTCTTTCTATTAATTAATGAGTAACACAATAAGGTTCCATTTTAGTTAGTGAATGAATAAAGAACAGTATTACAGTGTTTTTGATCTTTGTCAACATTAGTTAATGAATATAAAGTTCATTGTTTATTCACATTAACTCATGGAACTTTAACTAACGTCAACAAGCACATCTTTAGATTTTAACAGTGGATTAGTAAATGCTGTATAAGCGTTGTTCAAACTTATTTCCTGTTAGTAAATGCATTGACTAATGGAGCCTTGTTGTAAAGTGAGACCAATTAATGGAACTTTTGTATTAAATAGACACAAATTAAACTATCACTAATTATAAAAAAGATACGTATGACCTATTTAAATTAGCATAATTGTTATTAACTAATTATTGAACTATGAGTCAGATCAGTGTAAAGAAACGATAAAGAAAATAGTGTTATTTATAATAGTATTATTTATAACAAATGATGAATTTGACTTTATACACTGCAAAAAATCCTAAATCAAGAGGAATTTTCTAGACAAGCAAAACATATTGTCTTATATAATATGCCAATATTAAGTGGGTTTTTCCTTAAAACAAGCAAAATAATCTGCCTATGGGGTAAGCAAAATAATCTAACGTCAAAAGAAAAAACTATATTAATTTGCTCTCCCCATTGGCAGATTATTTTGCTTGTTTTAAGGAAAAACTCACTTAATATTGGCATATTTTTTCTCAAACAAGACATTATGTTTTGCTTGTCTAGAAAATGCTTCTTGATATAAGAAATTTTAGATATTTAGACTAGAAACAAGACAAAAAATCTAAGCAAAAAAAGTATTTTTTTGCAGTGTAGAAAATGTTTAAATAAAAAAAAAAACATAATTTTCAGAATTAAAATTCTGACAACAGCACAGGGTAATGTAAAGTAGTGAATATAAACATACCAATGATCTAAAAACACTAAAGCAGAACCTTGACAATGTCTCTTGGCAATCATAAACACCTAAATTCTATTTTGTTTTGCTACAAATTTCCTTTAATACAAGTACTAAATACAATACTACCCTTCAAAACAAGTTTTGTACTTGTTTGGCCCACACCCAAGTCAATTGTCATGCATTTCCATGTTTTCTTTGTTTATCTTGTATGTAAATAGCATAGAGCACTCCTGAGTACTGATACCAACCTGTATATTTCAGAACTTTCGACTATAGCTGGCACATTTCTGCTGTTATGTGGTGTAGCTTTTGATTTATTCCTCAACCTTCTTTCTCAGCGTCAGGCCTCAGGCAGACCTGCAGGGTCCATGTAATACTAAAGTCAATATAAATGCAACTCCTCCGTTAAGTGACATAATTCTGCCCTGCATCAAGATGAATGAAACTAACCATGGCGAATCATCTTCATCAATGCAATCATCGGGGAACGTTTAGGTCAAATGAATTCACAAACTCGTACCGACCTGCTTTGTTCTTATGACCTGCGCTGTCGCATTTCCTGCAGCTGGACTCTAGCAGGCAGGCTCTGGGTGGATCCGCTGCAGGCAATTTTACTGGAATGACCTGCCAACTCAAACGGCGTGCCAGCATCTCGAGAAACGCAGCCAAAAACATCAGCGAGTACGGGATTGCGTTGCTCAGAGAGAAGCTGTAATGAGAGCAGCCGGGGAGTAGCTAAACACTAACAGGTTGCGTGACTAGTCGTCTCTTTCCACGCAGGGCCTGTCCAGGCTCATACACCGGAGGGCAAGAATGGAAAACCAAACCAAGACGTTCAATAGAAAACATGTTGCACTGGCTGTATATTGAAAAGAAATTCTAGACTGCTGACCTTTGTGTGTCCTTTGTTTCTGTTTTGCATTAGGTTTCTCTCGCTCTCTTTGCCCAAGCTTGGTGTTTTTCTTATGCTGGGATTGTTATGGTATTGTAGCGTGTCTGTGTAACTCCCTGTGGTGTTTCTATGAATAATGATTTGAGCTTGTGAGGAATTTCTGTCATTGACAATGAATATGTTCCAGGGTGCTGGAAATATCCCTCTTTTATTTCTTGAAGTAATATCCAGGCGGAGGGAATGATACAGCGCTGTGAAGCTGTGATTAGACTCTCGGTGCTGTATTAAACTGGTGCTCCTCTTGTACACATCGCTTAATCCATACGGTCTTCCCCCGGCCCCACCAAGAGTGCTGTTCTGCTGATGTAAGCACTTCTGTAAGGATCAGGGATGAGCTTGGGAAAGAAATTCATTTGGAGCTGCCTCGTTATGATAGACACTTTTCCTGACCCCTTGGCCTTTGACTTCCGCTGAGTGTCCAAACATTAAAGCTCTTAATCGCTCAAGCACACACGCGGGCAAGAAAAACATAATCTTTATTCCCGTCTCGTCGCCTAGGTCTTTCCATCTCTTCTTGTTTTCTTACTTTGACTCTCATCTTATTCTTTGTGTCCTTCTTGACTTTTACATCTATCCTTCTCCATCTGGTCTCCCTTTTTCTCATTGTTCTATTTTGACCTTTTCTCTCTCACCTCATGCCATCTTTATTTCCTTTTTTCATTTATTTTTTTCCTATACTCCAGTCTAGTCTCTCTCTTGCTCTTTTTCTCATGTTGTCTCTCCTTCTTTTTTGTATCATATCATCTGGTTGTCTTGTATCAGCCTCTCGCCTCTGTCCCTGTCTCCTTTCTTGTCTTGTCTCATCTTTTCATCTCTTCTATTTTCATCCTTGTCTTGTCTTTTTGGTCCTTGCTTCTTAAAGTCTCTGACTTCTTTCTTTTCATTGTGTCTCCTCCTCTAGTCTGGTCTCAACTTGTCTCTCCTTCTCTTTTGTATCATATCACCTGGTTGTCTTGTCTCAGCCTTTCGTCTCCTGTCCCTGTCTCCTTTCTTGTCTTATCTCTTCGTCCCAACTATTTTCATCCTGTGTCTTATCCTTGTCTTGTCCTTTTGGCTCTTGCTTCTTCAATTCTCTTGACTCCTTTCTTCTCATTCTGTCTCTATCTCTACTCTGGTCTCATCTGGTCTCTCCTTCTCTTTTGTATCATATCATTTATTTGTGTTTTTTTTCTCAGCTTCTCTTGTCCCTTTCTCCTTTCTTGTCTTGTCTTGTCTCTACTTAAATAAGTTATTTTTTCATCCGGTGTCTCATACATGTCTTGACCTTTTGTCCCTTGCTTATTCATATTTCTGACTCTTTTCTTCTCATTTTGTCTCTACATCTAGTCTGGTCTCATGTTGTCTCTTATACCTGTCCCTTGTCATTTGGTATATTGTTCTGATCAAATAGATTTCTTTCTCATCTCTAGACTCTTGTTTCCTTTTTTTTGTCCGTTTCCTTTCTCACCATTTCTGTATTATTATTCCTTGTCTCCTTTGTTTTCTTTCTTTAATTGTTGCCTCATCGTCTGTGCTTACTTCTCAATTTTTCTCTCCTCTTCTGATCTAATTTCTCATACTTGTCTCAACACATTTGGCATGTGTATCTCATTTAATTTGTTCTATTTTTGTTTCATTTTTATATTTTATAATTGTCTGAAACATTCAATTCTCATCTCCTCTCCCTGCCACTCCTCTCAGTTCCCGGCTTACCTTGCATTAACTTTTATTTTTCTTCATCTTATACTTGTCTCAGCTTGTCTCTTCTTTTCTCTATTTACTTTTACCAGTCTGATGAGTCCTAATATGTCTTATCATTGCACTTTGGCCTTTTCCTGTCTTCTTTTTCTAATATTCACCTTTTTTAAATTGCGTCTTTTCTAACCTTCTCTTCTTCTCTGCGATGCCTCTCTATCTCTTCTCATCCCTCAGACTTATATCATCATCAGTCTTTTCTCTCTTCTCATCTCACCTAAAAATGGCCAGAGAAATAGTCATTTCTATTGATCCGATCAAAGCATTATAGCCCAGAATCTCTTACAGTCAGTCAGCCTGTAGAAATGAAGGTCCATTATGGCAACAGATGAGCAGAGAATCTCCCCTGCTTGTATTTCAGTAGGAGAATTTCCTCAGGTCACGTCCCATTCCGCTGATCAATTGCGAACTGATCAATCAGCTGCTAATCAATAGAAGCAGGATGATTCCAGCAGCATATGCATATTACAGCATGGGAGCAGGTGCACAGGGCCGCTAATTGCAAAAATGTCAATACTGTATGTGAGCATGTGTGGCGAGACACTCAGGAAGTGGTTTGGGCCTGACTCACTCACTCTCTCTCTCTTTCTGCCAAGCTGTTTGTTGTCTCCATGTAAATTGTTTATATCCGTTCGGGCTTTGCTGGCATGAATAATTTGTAGCTTTATAAATATTTGACTTTACACTCCTTGTTAATATGCACAGATGATTGTCTCTCCAGGACACGACCCCAACCCCAACACGCAGACCTCTGAAATCTTCCTGTTTGAATGTCTGTTTGAAGACTTCTGTGCCAGTCACAGCAAACACACCCCTGCCTCCAGTACCCTTTCTAGGCATGATTGAACTAGGCAGTCACCTTGTACGCCATCTATTACAGGGGTGCCAATGAGCATCCCACTGCCCTGCCCACAGAAAGTAAAGCAACCACTTTTTTTAGAGCGTGTCATTAAACAATTTTGAAGGGGATAACATTTTGTAGGGTCCGGCACTGACGCCAATACTTATACGCACCTTTAAAAACAATGTAACAACACATTGCATAAGCTCTATGATTGGTCGGCTTGGTAGCTTTAACGAATGTGTGCAGTTCTAAGAGCGGCGTGTCGAGTCCCATGAAGGAGCTCCCGATGTAAAGTTTTGTTTTGTGTTCACCTTATTATTAATGTTGTTGCACGTCCCCTGATTTCCACCTCTGAATGAGGAAGTTTTAACCACTTGTACATTTAAGGTAGTGTTCAGACAAAACAAAACACCCATGAAGAAACTCGATGCAGAGGAACATAACATAACCTACTGCCAGCTAGCATTTCGGAAGGGCTATTGCAGTGCAACACAAACAGCATGGAAAAATTTAAATGCATGGCTACGCGCAAGGCCGGCACTGTGAGTCACGGCAGAAGTATAAACCTGTTTTTGTTTACTAAAGGCAATTTTGGTATGGAAGACAGGCGCTCCAATAAGTACGCTCAATGCTACAGATTCTAGCATCTAATAAGCAGAGAAGAGCACACTATGGGTATAGGCTTTAAACTGTTGTGTTCGATCCGCTATAGACAGTACTGTCAGTCAAGCAGGTAACGTTATTATTGCTAATGTAGCTATTCCTTTAAAAATACATTGGTATCATCTGTATCAAAGAGAAATTTAGCACTTCATATATGTTGCGGTGAAAATGACCTTGTGGGAATTCAAGAACATCTTTGCCAGGAGATGTTTCTAAACTTTAAAGCATTTTGCCCTGTTTTATTATATGCATTTAATTAAAATATAACATTAATTACAACCTGCAGGGTGATTTTAGAGTGGGCAACCTTCAGGTTGCATAAATACCTATACGTTTATATAAAAATACTACAGTATTTCGTAGTAAATACTAGACAGTTTTTGAACATACTATAGTAAAGTTTATTATATTGGATACATTATAGTTTTGACAACTTGCTGCTGATGATCAACTTGCTACTGATCACAACTGATAAACTGTAATGAATAATGTATAGGTTACATTAGTTTTTAGTTTTGTAAACTGTGATTATATATATATAATATACATGTTAAACTTAGTACAGTTTTGGGTGATTTGCACTGTAAAAAGAGAATAGTTGACTTCACTTAAAAAAAGAATAAAAAAAAAATTTATGAATTTTTTTAAAAATTGTTACCTAATGATGATTAAGTAAACAAACTATGCATAATTATACAAGTTAAGTCAGTGGATTTACTTTGTTAATCAACTTGTTGCTTTTAAGGTAAGGGGTTGACTCACTTTTTAATGTGAAGCTAGCTTTTACAGTGTGTTTACATTACTTAACAGCAATTCTAAAATGAGCACAACACCTTCATCCAAGTACAGTACTTTTCTAGAACACTGTAATTCAAAAACACTGTAGAATTTACTATCATTTACTAGATGAATGTCTTCAATGATACTGCTCTTCATTTTTTCATATTGTTTTTTTTTTTTTTTTTTACTTGGGCACGATAGTAGCTTACGGTCACAAGTCTAGAAATGGCCCTTCCATTCTCTCTTACTTAATCCAAACACATACGCACACAGAAGTACACCCTAAATGACATCCTAAAATACAGTGTGCATGTGTGAAGGAGCTTGCTGATAGCACATCGTTGACTTTAGTGTCTCAAGCGCATGCTCTCTACCCCCTCTCTGTCTGTTTTTTGACCTTTCTCTCACGGACAGATTTTCAATCATGGGTATTGGCTCCCAAATGCGCACACACTCACTCACACACACGCTAAATGGTCTGTCAGGAGTGAACCTGCTCATGTACATGCAAAAAACACAGGAGTTCTAATCTACAAAGCAAATTCTGACAGAGGTCATGCACAAAAACACAACTGGGAGGTGTTTAGTTATAGTTATATTATTTAATGCGTGTATGTGTTTGTGTGTGTTGCAGGTAACATTTACATAAGTGCAGTACAGGAGGTGTTTGCCCTCTGTGCCAGCGATGGGGTGGCGAGAACTGACGATTGACCTGCTGATACTCCTGCTGGTGGCGTCCCGTCTGGATGCTGTGAGCTTTCCTGAGGACAACATCCCTTTAGACGTTGTGGACAGACACTGTAAGAGACTGCAGACATCACACTGTTTTTGAATTGCCCCCATCTACACAAGATCTTTATCAAGGTCTTTAGAAAAAAAAAACGCATTTCTTTTCAACAAATAAGGGCACTTTGAGCCCTGCGGGCTGTTAGAAAATAAACTTTTTTTCTTTTTACACTTTCACTGGTTCATCACATTTACCATAAATGTTGATGTAAGTTTACCGCAAGCCTGATTTCACAAGTAGGACATGTTCCTGCATTAACATCCATGTTGATCCTGGAACAACATTTCTATCGGCCAATCAGAATTATTTGTTAAGCTTAAATTAAGTTTAAGCTTATGGTTAGGTTTATGCACTTCTACATGATTGTTGTCCAACTATTCCCCTCTGATTTTGAGAACAGTTTACAGTTATGGTTTTGTTTAAGGGTAGCGAATTGGTATGGATTTCATTTACTAACAAAAATGATGTTCCAGGATCAACACAGATGTTAATCCAGGATCGCATCATCCTTGGCAAAATCATAACGTGCTAAGCTTACCTTATTGTAGTCACAATTAAATAACATGGTTAAGTAGTTCAATAATTGTACAAAAGCTGCAGCAGTTAACAACATGACTGCTTGATTTTGAAGTTTATACAAAATATATTCTACAATTTAAATGATTATTCACAGTTTAAGCATTGAAAGTATAATACAGTGTAATATTTTCTAATCTCTCAGTAAAAATAATACCTGTCATACCTTTTGTTTCCATGATTTATAGAAGACACCTCCTATAATTTCCTGAAATCAGTGGACATTATATATTATTTTCCATACATGTTAGTTTTTAGTTTTAAAAATAATTTATGTTTAAAACAAGAATCATTTTGTTACATATTAAAGGATCACTTGTCCAAAATACCAATTATTTGTAATTTAATTAAATATTTAAAAATGATATATATGGGGCGCCTAACAGCAAGGTCTGGTGAAATGAGTGTGTAAGGGTGTTTCTTAGTACTGGGTTGCAGGTGGAAGGGCGTCCACTGCGGAAAAAAACATATGACTGAATAGTTGGCGGTTCATTCCACTGTGGTGACCTCTGAAATAGAGACTAAGGAAAATAAATTTTATATATATATATATATATATATATATATATATATATATATATATATATATATATATATATATATATACACACACTGTAAAACCCAAAAAGTTAAGGTAACTAAAACCGTTTGTGGTAAGCGATTGCTACAAACCATTTGAGTTAGAAAACATATCTATATGTGTACTGTGAACTTACCCCATTTAAGTTGAAGTTGTAATGAGGCATTTAATTAACTCAATTCCTTCAACACTGAGTAAAAAAAAAAAAAATATATATATATATATATATATATATATATATATATATATATATATATATATATATATATATATATATATAATTTAAATATAATATAAAACATTTGATATTTTATTATTTATAGAAACAATATTTTATTGTATATTTTAAGATATATTTTAGTATAGTATTTTACTTTAAAATCTTGATGTAGACACTTTACTTGCATTCAATAATAATAATAATAATATAATAATAAATAATACTTTTTAACATTTTACAATTAAAGTCTCTCTTTGCGACCCAATTAAACCAACAAAAGTCAATTAAGAGACATAAAATTGCCTTCATCAAAACAAAAATAATAATAATAAATAAATAAATAAAATAAAACAGCCGTCCATGTTCTATAGAGGAAGTCATCAACATCTATATTGGCTGCATTAGTGCTGCTGTGCTCCGCAGTGAGAAAACACCCCAGCATGCTGACAGTGCAGTGGCCAGACGTCAATGCGGTGGCCTGCTGGTGTAATATTCATTACTTTAGCAAAGTCTTTCTTCAGGGCAGTTTAACATGCAGTTGCCACAGCCAATCAATAGCAACATCGATCTCCGTTGACGCTAATACTGAATAACAGCGCATCTGTTTGTTCTGCAGATGCACGGCAGTACCCGGTGTTTCGTGGACGTCCCTCTGGTAACGAATCTCAGCACAGACTGGACTTTCAGCTGATGACCCAGATACATGATACGCTGTTCATCGCGGGCAGGTAAGTCAGCATTTTAACAGGAAGTGGAATGGAGATCTTTGACCGTTTGACCTGTTCAGGGTTGAAGGACAATTGATTTGTCAGTAGGGATGTACGATATTGGAATAGTCTGGCATTGCGATATTTAGTTACGGTTAGGGCTGCACAATATATCGTTTGAGCATCGATATCGCAATGTGTGTATCTAATTATTAAGGATTCTAAGATAAATGTATTAATTTTTAAACAAATTATACAATCATGACCATGTTATTTTATGTTCGATTGTTCAATGTCTGTAACTGAATACTATTCGACTCTCCAGAAAACCATAAAGCCTTGTTTATTTCACTTTTGTTTTTGCTCTGTCGTATTTATATATGCTTGTAAATTGTTATAATTTTTGCAAATGCACCACATAGAAAACAGACTATCATCCCAATCTATTTCAATTAAAGAAACCTTTCCAAGTATTCATATCGCAATTTACAGTTGAAGTCAGAATTATTAGCCCCCTTTAAAATTTTTTCTTCTTTTTAAAATATTTTCCAAATGATGTTTAACAGAGTAAGTAAGTTTTTACTGTATGTCTGATAATATTTTTTCTTCTGGAGAAAGTCTTATTTGTTTTATTTCGGCTAGAATAAAAGCAGCTTTTAATTTTTTTAAACACCATTTTATGGACAAAATTATTAGCCCCTTTAAGCTATTTTTTTTTTCTCGACTGTCTGCAGAACAAACCACTGTTATACAATAACTTGCCTAATTACCCTAACCTGCCTAGTTAACCTAATAACCTAGTTGAGCCTTTAAATGTCACTTTAAGCTGTATAGAAGTGTCTTGAAAAATATCTAGTACAATATTATTTACTGTCATCATGGCAAAGATAAAATAAATCAGTTATTTATTTGAAAAAAATCTTTTCTCCGTTAAACAGAAATTGGGGAAAAAATAAACAAGCGGTCTAATAATTCAGGGGGGCTAATAATTCTGACTTCAACTGTATATCGCAGAAGAACAAAGTATCGCAATATCAGATTTTTCCAATATTGTGCAGCCCCAGTTACGATTATGTATCGTGATATAAACACAAATTAATCCAATGTCTGGAATAGCTTTTTTTATAAAGAATTCATGATTTGAGATATTTATTAATTATTTTAGAGGAGGGTTTTTTTTATTACATTTACAAGCACAATGATGGAGAACAGCAGTTTTCCGTATTGTTTCCCTTTATTTATGCTTTTAAATTGCATTGTGGGACCTTGATCTTTCTTCCAACGTCTTTTAACTTTAAAAAGTTTGAAAAAAAAAAACATTTTTAATAGTTTAAAGGGATGTATTGTCTGGGTTGGTGTTGTATATTACACTACAAAAACCTTGTAATAAGCTGCCAGTACATTTTCTGTTATTTTACAGACTTTTTTCTCTATATATTATTTCTTAAACATTCAATTCAGGGTGCGAATTACAGGGGGGATTGTCCCCCCCTAATTAACGATTGATCCCTCTTGAAGGATGTCAAAACAACATTTATGTGGATCAGCCCTTTAATAGGGAGAACTTTTCTCTGAACTGTATTTTAAATAGTAATATTAATAATTAAATTAGTTACTTGTTAAACTTGACCCAAAGGACAAGATGTCAGATACAAGTGGCCAAAATTAGTTTCCTTTTCAGGGTGACAGGAGCGCACCATTATAGGGTGAGGAGCTATATATATACCGAGAGGAGCTTGGAGTAGAGCCGCTGCTCCTCTACATTGAGAGAAGTCAGCTAAGGTGGCTCGGGCATCTGTTGCGGATGCCTCCTACCTAGTGAGATGCTCTAGGCATGTCCCACCAGGCCTCAGGGAAGACCCAGGAAACTTTGGAGAGACCATGTCTCTCGGCTGGCCTCAGAACGCCTTGGCGTCTCCCATGAAGAGTTGGAGAAAGTGTCTGGGGAGAGGGAAGTCTGGGGTTCTCTCCTAAGACTGCTGCCTCTGCGACCAGGCCCCGGAAAAGTGATTAAAAATTAATGAATGAATGATAATTAATATCATTAATTTAGATCTTGTAAAAATAAATTTGACCACCCCTATAATGGTTCATATTATTTTGAGCGCATAATGGCACCAATCAGTATATGCGAGTAAAACACCATTCAACAGTCTGATACTGGGAGATCAGAGCACAGATAGACGCTTTAAGTACTCAAAAGACACTTTTCTTGTAAAATATGTGTTCGTTTCTACATAGAGCCTAAAAGTAAAGCCAAATTAGCACGTTTTTTTTTATTGTTTGACCTAAAGCAACCTCTGAAATAGTTAATCAGAGGTTACTGTAGCTCAGTATACACTAAATATACCTCAAAACACTGAAAACTGAGATTCATTAATGAAATATATTTCAGTTTCAGTGTTTTGAAGTATATTTAGTTGTATTTATTATTAATAATAATAATGTATTTATTTAAATTAAATAAATAAATTTAATTAACTGAATCATTTTCTACACAAAATAACATTACAGAAAAATTGGACCCCCTCCCCTATTGTCAGTGTGTAATTCAATCCCTGATTATACTATTTCAATGAACTAAAATGTCAACTAAGGTCACTTTGTTTAACTGTAAAGTTGAATTTGCAACATCAAAAGTCGACAGAGCAGAGATCAACATGCCATAATGCAATTCACAACCATGAATAAACGGAAAACAATTGTGAATCACACAGTACGGAAACTGTTCATTAACAGATATTTCTTTACAGTGCATAGTTAAATACAACAAAGCAAAAATATTAATGAAATAAACAGTGTCTGTTTCACAAAGTCAGACAGAACTAAAGTACAGAAATGTAATAATCAAATGTAAATTAGCACTACATAGGTCTTCATTGTAAAAAATGATTCAATTAAAAATTAATTACAATTTAGTATATGCTCACACAGTCACTTCTTAATAATTCATCCAGATTATAAACTTTTTTTATAATTATTATTTATTTTATTTTTATAATTATTTGTTTTATTTGTAAAACCCTTACTATAAGGTTTTAAAAATAAATAAAATATGAGTGAAAACATGTTCTTTTTACATTGTTTAAAATAATAATTTATATAAACCTTATAATCTATAGTTGTTTCAATAACTATTAATATCAATCATTAATCTACTCAACAATCCCATCTCAACATTACAGATCCTGCGCTGACTATGAACCCTTTTCACAAGACTGTCATCACCATTTTAAATCCTTGAAAATTTTAAGATTTATGCTTATGTGAGGCGTTCCTAATGCAGCGTCTGTGGGCAGGACAGTAAATTTGACGTTGTTCTCTCTTCAGGTTGCAGTTATCAGTCTCACATGATTTTTTTTTTTTTTTGCTTATTCTAAAAGTCTTTATAACACCATTGTTGACTTTTTTAGCAAATAGTATTGTAAAATAATTATTTGCTGTACTCTCGCATTCACTGCGCTCTAAGTTTACCCAACTATGACGACTTCTGCTGCTGAGAAACCCAGAAATGTGAAAAGGATCAATTGCGGAGACACGCGTTGCAATATCGATGCTGAAACAATATATTGTGCAGCCCTAATTGTGAGTAGTCTTTTGTGTGGGATCAAACCTGTTTTTTTTTTTTTTTCTCACAGGGATCAGGTATATTTGGTGAGTCTGAGGGAGTCCTACAGGAACGAGATCATTCCATACAGGGTGGGTTCACTGTAAATCATTTTATGACCTAAACACTCGTCTTTACTAGGTGTAGCACAATAAAGTGTCAACCGATAAAAACAATTCTGATAATCTGAGTTTCATTTCTAGTCATGGCAGCACTTTGTCAATCACAAGGTTTCTGTTTCTGCTAAATGTAAAGTGTTTTATGTGTTAGCTAGTATATATTGGTATAATGTGAAAGGAAATTGTTCATAGCTATCTAAGGCTGTATTTATTTGATACAATAATATTGTAAACAGGTATTACTACAGGTTAGTTAATGAAGTTTTTGATTTTTAAATATTTTGTGAAGCTTATAAGTTTAACAGCAAGTCTTTCTTCAGTTTTCAATGTCACATGGTGTTTCGGAAATCATTCCACTATGCTAATTTCATGTATGCTAAACTCAGGAAACAAGAAATAAAATGTAAAAAAAAAAAGATACAAATTTTTGGGGAAATGTGATGTACAGTGGTCCCTCGTTTATCACTGGAGTTACGTTCTAAAAATAACCCACAATAGGTGGAATTTGCAAAGTAGTGAGCTTTATTTTTTACAATTATTATAGATGTTTTAAGGCTGTAAAACCCCTCACTACAAACTTCATACAATTTTCTAAGACATGCATTCACATTTTCACACTTTTAATAACAAATATAACTAAATTTTATTAATATAGCACCTTTCTTGAGCTCAAGGACACTTTACAAAGAGTGTAACAAAAAGAGATAGTACAAGCAGACATTGAAAGAAACAGTAAACAAGTAGAGACAATATTATATTTAGTAAGTATAACTTTTCTTGCGTAACTTCTACCTTCCTTTACCATGTCCAGATATACAACTTTTTGTGCGATGGTTAGCATTGTTCTCTGACTTTGGAGTGCTACCGTGGGTGCCCTTGACGGTGCAGAATGTTTTGTCGACATTATCGAGTTTGTTAGAGAGAAAACTTGCAAACATATAGTACAGCACTTCAGAGTCACAATGCTAGCTATCAAAGATTTATGTCAATTTGGCAAGCTGAATGCATTCTGTACCGTACAGGAGACACCTCATGGAGGAGATTGATTGACAATGGTCTACAGCAGGGGTGGGCAAACTTGGTCCGATGTCCTGCACAGTTTATCCCCAACTCTAATCAAACACACCTGCTTATAGATTTGTAGTGCTCTTGAAGACACTGATTAGCTTGTTCAGGTGTGTTTGATTGGTGTTGGAGCTAAACTGTGCAGGACACCGGCCCTCCAGGACCAAGTTTGCCCACCCCTGGTCTACAGCCAATCAGGACACAGAATACAATGCGCTGTAACAAAAAAAGCATGTCAAATTGGCCAAAAAAGTTTGTAAAACCGCGAAAGGTGAACCATATTATGGCAAGGGACCACTGTATTGCTATTCTCAAGTTTGTACATGAGAAAAAAGTGCTTATTATTATTATTATTATTATTATTATTATTATTATTATTATTATTGTTGTTGTTGTTGTTGTTGTTGTTGTTGTTATTCAGCTAGATGCATTTAGCTAATCAATGTGATGACAACTTTTCTGTTCACAAAAGACGCCTGAAAATGTGTCACAGTCTGCATGAAAATCCATAATAAGAGATAATATTTAAGTACCAATTTAAAATGACCTGAAGGAAAATCCAGCATCCCCATACAGATATCTGATAATATGCAAGATATATTTAATAACATTGAAAAAAATAAATAAATAATGGCTGTTGTGTCCATATATATATTTGTATATGTATATGTATATATATATATATATATATATATATATATATATATATATATATATATATATATATATATATATATATATATATATATATATATTAGCCAATGTTTATTTATTTATGTTCATATATGACCATATATAAGATTTTCCTATGGGTGACTCACTGGAAATAAATAATACTTTAAAATGTAATAATATAGACATATTTATTTTCACAACGTGATACTGTGTTTTGATTGAATAAAGGCAGATTTGGTAAACATAAATGACTTCTTTCAAGCATAAAAAAGGTCCCACTTTACATTAAGTGGCCTTAATTACTCTAAATTTGCATTTAAATGAATGATTTAATACAATGCACTTATTATGTGCATACATGTTTTTACATTGTACTGATATTTTCTAAATGATCCGCTTGTAATTACATTTATAATTACACTATTGGCCTATCCCTTACCTTAACCCAACCTTAAACCTACCCAAGCCCCCAGACCTATCCCTAACCTTAGCCATATCCAACTTCAGGAGCACCAAGAGTGTTGTGGAGTACTATATGAACACAATAAGTAGATTGTACTTATTTTCTGATGTAAGTTCATAGTAATTAAGGCCACTTAATATATAGTGGGACAAGAAAAATATTATTCCAGCATCAGACTGATAGTATATCTGTCATCATCAACATAAGACTGTTGATGGCTGGAAACCTATTGCATCATGCCTGATTACAAATCAGTGTAGTTTATTGATAAGTGTGCGGGTGGGAAACTGTGTCTGACGGTGATGGTTTGTGTTGTCACAGAAGCTGACGTGGCGGTCGGGGCAGGCTGACAGAGAGACGTGCGCCATGAAGGGAAAACACAGAGTACGTCCTCCACATCTTCAGCATGATCTGTATTATTTACAGCGCCAAAGCAGCCATAAATCTCATTGTCTTGTCTTCCTCTCAGGACGAGTGCCATAATTTCATTAAAGTCCTGGTTCCGAGAAATGATGATCTCGTGTTCATCTGCGGAACAAATGGTTTCAATCCCATGTGCCGTTACTACAGGGTAGGTCTTGCTGTTTATATGCTCTACGTGACTGTCTGTCTGTTGTTTTGCACTTAATAAGTGACTGGTTAATGTGAGTGGGAGCAGTTTTACAGTACAATGAAGATAAGAACTCTATTTCCGGCTTTCTTTTTTAGTTGGATAACCTGGAATTTGATGGGGAAGAGATCAGCGGTTTGGCCCGATGCCCGTTTGACGCTAAGCAGACAAACGTTGCCCTGTTTGCCGGTATGAGAGCTGTCAGGATAATGAGGAGGATGATGAATAACTTTGCCATGAATTTTAAAGGTTTTGGCTAAAATTAACGCTCCAATAAGAGCCAGGATTGATGTTGTGCATAAATCAGATGCCACATGAACATCCTCATGCCAAGCGATTTTAGTATACAGACAGGAACGGCACAACTTGAGAGTTAGTACGGTGTGATGTCACATGTGCATCCCAATAAATCTGGACAAAAAAAACTGTAAAAAAAGCGAAAGCAGAATTTATCATTAGTCAGTAAATTAATCTCATTTTAAATATATTAATATTATTATTGTGTATTTATTTTATTTAAAAAATGATTTTATTTTGTGTTTTTAGAAAGTAAAACAAAAAAAAAGAGAGAAAAGTTATCAAATGTGAACTAGACATTTGTGTATAAAAAACACACACATGTAAATGTATATAGTCAGTTAAAGTCAGAATTATTAGCCCTCCTTTGAATTATTTTTTTCTTTTTTAAATATTTCTCTTTTCAGGAGGAAGTCTTGTTTGTTTTATTTCGGCTAGAATAAAAGCATTAAAAAAAACATTTTAAGGTCAAAATTATTAGCCTCTTTAAGCTATATTTTTTTTTTCGATAGTCTACAGAACAAACCATCATTGTGGAGGGTTTTCTTGTGATATATTGCAGATATCTGTCATCGGGGCAAAACATCATAATAATATCGTATCGTATTACTGTACCTGAATATCTGACTACTTATTTCACTTTTATCTTTATTTATTCTTGCAATTTTTTTGAATTACTCCTCTACAAGAATTTTCCAATTAATCCAAATTAATAATTTTATTCCAAATAAACTTATTCAAGTCATTTGCCAAAATTGTATTCATATCGCAATAAAAATCGCAGAAAAATAAAATATTGGAATGTCAGTTTTTTTTTATATCTAGCAGCCCTACTATATATTCATTTTATTTTTTAGGCTTTGATTTATTTTATGTTAGGATAGGAATATTTTTGTCTGAGATACAACTATCTGAATCTCTGGGATCTGGAAAAAAGTCAAAATACTGAGAAAACCTTGTTTAAAATAGTTTTAATCATGTTCAATTCAAAGATTTTGATATATTTGCAATCTTTCATTTAAAAATGTACAAAATATGTTAATAGGAAATTATCTTTACTTATTATTCTAATTATTTTTGGGGGGCATAAAAGAATAATTGATCATTTTGAATAAAAAATTACCTCTGCAAAATATCAGAAAAGGTCACAGGGTCACAAATATCTTAGCAGAGTGTTACTTTATTTAACCTTCTTGCTTGGACTAAATAGACTCTTCCTCTGTGGTTGTTTGCTTTTCAATTATTTCAATGTTATTATTATGATTTTAGTTTTCTTTGAGTGTGTGGTAAATTCCAAAAACATTGTGTGAATTGTATGTGAAGTGTGTTTTAATCTAACCTATTTGTTTGTCAGATGGTAAGCTGTACTCTGCTACGGTGGCAGACTTCCTGGCTAGCGATGCTGTGATTTATCGCAGTATGGGAGATGGTTCTGCCCTTCGCACTATCAAGTATGACTCCAAGTGGTTGAAAGGTACTTAAACTTTTGCTTGTGTGCTTTATTTAATTACTAGTAGTTTTATGGTAACATTGGTCAACTTGCTGAACCCAATGCACACCCAACCAACAACCCCTAACCATACTTTAAAAGAAGTGGGTCAGTGTGGGAGAACAGAAAATGGCGGGTGTTGACGTAAAATCCAGTTTCCTGTGGCACAATCTAGGTCAACACTCTGGCGTTCCACTCAGCCAACAAAAACGCATCAAATTTTAAGTTAGGGTCAGCGGCGGAGATGCTAATGCTTCCTTCTTTTTTTCCTTCCAGAGCCACATTTTCTTCACGCTGTGGACTACGGGGATTTTGTCTACTTCTTCTTTAGAGAAATTGCAGCAGAGCACAACAACTTGGGAAAGGTATGCTTCACGATACACAATGCTAACAGATAAACAATGCTAATATTCCTACTAATTCAAGACATACAATGCTAACATTCCTACTGATGCTAAAGTAAGGCATAGTTCACACAAAAATGAACATTTTTTTCACTATTTACTCACCCTCAAGTGGTTCTGAACCTTTAAGAGTTTCTTTAATATGTTGAATACAAAAGAAGATCATTTAAAGAAAGCTGCATACCTGTAACCAATGACTTCCATAGTAGAAAAAATAAATATTATGGAAGTCAATAGTTACAGGTTTCTTCAGAATATCTTCTTTTGTGTTCAGTAGAATAAAGTTACTCAAAGGTTTGGAACAAGTGAAGGTGAATAACTGGATTTTAAAGGTAATTAAACACCCTGAAGCGTAATAATGTATTTATGATTTGTATGCTAATACAGTGTTCATAGTATTTTATTTAGAGATGAGCGTTTTTTTCCTGAGGGTCAATATATCATCCATTGCCTCAGGATTTGCTTTAAATTGGCCCCTTAAACAGCTTCTTGGTAGCACAGATGAATGAATATTTAGGTTTAGTTATTACTGTAGTCAACACCTGCACTGAGAGCAGATTTTACAGTGGTAAATTATTAAGACGGTTACACGCTGCTAATTCAAGCCCTCCAGCACGTTGCAGTTTGGTACTATCTAAAAGTGAAAAAGAATGGTTTCTCACGTATATTTAGATTCAACTCTGCCACCAGGGAGATAGATCTATTATTTAGAAAGCGATGCTGACTTTTTTTCCCACTATTTTTCTCTCACTGCAGGCGGTTTACTCCAGAGTGGCTCGGATCTGTAAAAATGACATGGGAGGGTCTCAGCGGGTGCTGGAAAAACACTGGACATCTTTTGTTAAGGCTCGGCTGAACTGTTCCGTTCCTGGAGAATCGTTTTTCTACTTTGACGTCCTTCAGGCCATTACCGATATCATCGACATTAATGGGGTGCCTTCTGTGGTTGGAGTTTTCACCACTCAGTTAAACAGGTAAAATAAATTGTCACAGTGACCTCCCACAAAAATCTCCACATGGAAACAGATTGAATAGTGGTGAATTTCTTATACCTTCAGTATTCCTGGATCTGCAGTGTGTGCCTTCTCCATGGTGGACATTGAGAAAGCCTTCCGCGGCCGTTTCAAAGAGCAGAAGACGCCAGATTCAGTGTGGACGCCATTTCCAGAGGAGAAACTGCCCAAGCCCAGGTTGGTGCACGCACTAGTGCGTGACGGGCTAATCATTGAGAGATTAATAATTAACAAGCGATAATTGGACATGCTGCATATTTAACCTGTGTGTGCAGTGGCCATATGGAGGCGGGTATAGATTTACAGGCATGTGGCACATGGCTCTTTGCCCTATTTCCCTCAACCGGAACTGCATGTGTGCGCGTTTTGTCTTTTCAGACCTGGCTGCTGTGCAGGACACGGTTCAGCAGAGTCCTACAAAACCTCCATCGAGTTTCCAGACGAGACCCTTCAATTCATCAAGTCACACCCACTCATGGACGCCTCGGTCCCCTCCATTGGAGACGAACCGTGGTTCACCAAAACAAGAGTCAGGTACGGGCACAGTGCCACCATTCAGCCTAGTCTCAAAAACTCGTTCTGATGCTCTCGCAAGAGTTGATGCAAACATGACTTTTAACTAAAGCAAAGTTAGACCATTTTAACAGGAATAAAGTATGCTAATACTTTAGTTTAAGTATCAATTCCCTCTATTAACCACTGTAGTCTTACTTATAATACTATCCAATGCCTAAACCCAACTACTGCCTATTAATATGCAGCGATTTAGAACTGTATTAAGCTAAAAGTTTTAGTTAATAGTTTGTTAATAGCAATTTTGCTTTAAAATAAATTGTGACCAAAAGTATTTTAAGAATGTCCAAACTGATTCCTGGAGGACCACTTTCTTGTAGATTGTACATACAATCCCTAAATGGACATTAACTGAACATGCTAGTCAAGTTCTGTGTCCCAACTCCCCTGCTTAAACTATGTCCTAAAAGTATTTGTAAAGCTAAAGTAAATACTGTTGAGTGTGTAACAGAAGAATGTGCATGTTTTGGGACAAACCACATCCTCATCGACTGGTATGTTGCTTAGTTGTGTGCCCTCTCAATGATCTTGTCACATCGTCCACATTTCTTTCATATTTAATTCTCTATCTTAGAGATCATTCATTCATTCATTTTCTTGTCGGCTTAATCCCTTTATTAATCCGGGGTCGCCACAGCGGAATGAACCGCCAACTTATCCAGCAAGTTTTTACGCAGCAGATGCCCTTCCAGCTGCAACCCATCTCTGGGAAACATCCACTCACACACACTCATACACTACGGACAATTTAGCTTACCCAATTCACCTGTACCGCATGTCTTTGGACTGTGGGGGAAACCGGAACACCCGGAGGAAACCCACGCAAAGGCAGGGAGAACCTGCAAACTCCAAACAGAAACGTCAACTGAGCCGAGGTTCGAACCAGCAACCTTCTTGCTGTGAGGCGACAGCACTACCTACTGCGCACCTGCCTCGCCTCTTTAGAGATCTGCACTTTAAATTTCTACCAAAAATAGTAGACAATCTGAGTAACTTTGGAATACTCATTTAAACATACTACTACTTTGGACAAACTAATTCTATTTTCAATACTATTTAGGATGGATAGTATGCGAATTGGAAAACGACAAAGGTCTTAGGACTTATTAGAAACTTTCAGACATAAAGGCCCAATCCCAATTCTATTTTTACACCTCGTTCCCCTTCGTTAGAGACGAACCGTGGTTCACCAAAACAAGAGTCAGGTACAGGTGCAGTGCCACCATTTAGCCTAGTCTCAAAAAGTCGTTCTGACGCTCTCACAAGAGTTGACTAAAGCAAAATCTGACCAATTTGACAGTAAGGAAGTATGATAATACTTTAGTTTAGGTACAAATTCCCATTATTAACTACTGGCTTACTATCTATGCTAATACTAGCCTATGCCTAAACTCAATTACTACCTATTAATACGCAGCTATCTAGAACTGTATTAAGCTAAAAGTCTTAGTTAATATTTTGTTAATAGCAATTGTACATTACAATAAAGTGTGACCAAAAGTATTTCAGGGTTGTCCAAATTTACTCCTAGAGGACCACTTTCTTGCAGATTGTACATGCAAACCCTAAATGGACATTAACTGTAACATGCTAGTCAAGTTCTGTATCCCAATTTATGCTTATACTACGTCCTAAAAGTATTTGTATTTGTATCAGAGTACACACAGATCAACACTTCAAATTTCTACCAGAAATAGTAGACCATATGGGTAACTTTGGAATATTCATTTAAACATACTATGATTTGGGACAAACTAATTCTATTTTGAATATTATTTAGGATGGATAGTATGGGAATTTAGACACAGCATAACATAAAGTGTCTTTTAGCTGATTGGCCCTTTTCCAGGATAAGGATTAGACTATCTAACTTCAGCGCAGGTTGTCTTTTAAAATCAGAAAGAAATCTAATACTAGCACAGATTACTTTTTTGCATAAAACCTAATTACATAATACTGGGAAGAGTTTGCTATCTAGACCCAGTGTCAGCTGTTAAGTAAGCATCATTTATGACCCTTCCAGCAAAGAGCCTTGGTTTCATGTTCTAAACAACTGGTACGCCTAATTTAACTAGTTCAGGTCTTGATAGATGTGTCACGTTTCAACATGTTTTGTCTTGTGTCAGCTCAAGTTAAGCTGCAGCAATTCAGGCGTCTCCTTGTAACCGAAAAGCTGCCCTGCATTCAAGCTTTTTTTCCTTTTTTTTTGTAGGTACAGACTAACAGCACTTGCAGTTGACAACACGGCAGGACCCCATAAGAATTACACAGTGGTTTTCATCGGCTCAGAAGCAGGCATCGTGCTAAAAGTTCTAGCCAAGACATCCCCGCTGTCTTTGAATGACAGCGTCCTGCTGGAGGAAATTGACGTTTTCAACCAGGCCAAGTATGTTCTCATCCTATAATTATCCTATGATCAGTCTCAAGACGCATTTTCTTTTGTCTTTAATTGTGGGAAACTTCTTTAATTGTGGGAGAAATCTGAGTCAGTTTATGATGTAGTCTCAAATTGTCTTTTTTATGACCTGAATGAAATTTTTGGATCATCAGAGATCAAGATTAGATCTATTTGATGTGAAAGAGCATGGTTTTCACTTTTCCCTCTGCAGTGTGTGGCTGTTTTATTCTCCTTCTGACTGAGGAAAGTGTTGACTGACGGACAGATCTGATAACATGTGATTTATCGGCTTTTCCTCTCTCTGTTCTGTTTTTCTCCCAGGTGTTTATCCAGCAATGAGGACGATCGGCGAATTTTGTCTTTCCACCTAGATAAAGACAGTCACACACTTTATGTGGCCTTTTCCAGCTGTGTGGTAAGAATACCACTCAGCCGCTGCGAACGACACAGTTCCTGTCAAAAGTGAGTTCTGAATGTAGCTTTGCTGCATCTAGGCAGCATTTTCTTTCTTTTTTTGCACATCCAATTAAAATCACTTTTATTTTTGTAGAACTATTGTGTCGTGTGTTCATTTTTAATATTGAGATGTTTTTCATTGCAGGTCTTGTATTGCTTCAAGAGACCCATACTGCGGATGGATGTCACATGGAGCTTGTGAACGTATTCCTGCAACTATGCAGTAAGTCCTACTATTCTAATCAGATAAGGGGGAAAATTCAATGAGTAACTCAATTAGTCTGCAGCTAGCGCTCTGCAACCCTCACATGGTCGTTCATTGAAGCTAAGCAGGGCTGCGTCTGGTCAGTACCTGAATGGGAGACCATGTGGAAAAGCTGCGTTGCTGTCGGAAGTGGTGTTAATGTGACCAGCAGGCGGCGCCTAACCTGTTGTCTGTGTGGGTCCTGACGCCCCATTATATTGGTGCCGTCTTTCAGATGAGACTCTGTGGTCATTAAAAATCTCTGGGTGTCTTTTAAAAAAGAGAAGGGGTTTAACCCTAGCATCCTGGCTAAATTTGCCCACTGATCTCTGTCCATTATGGCCTCTAACCATCCCCATATGATAATTGGCTTCAACACTTTGTCTCCTCTCCACTAATTATGGGTTATGGCTGCCGTCACGTCATAGTGGATGCTGCACACTGGTGTTGAAAGAGTAGATTCCCCACAATGAGGAGAGGGGTCTGGCTGCAGACCTGGTGCAGTGCAATCTGGGCTGCCTCCGATGCTTTTTAATGGGCTCACCTAACCCTACCCATCACAGTGATGTCACTAGCTCCATTTAAGTGCATTGTGTCTGACATTGCATCTCTGAGTGATGCAGTCTCAGCTTGCATCATAAAGGCTGCATCCAGATACTATTGACAATGAGTAAAGCGCTTTGAGTGTCCAGAAAAGCGCTATATAAATGTAAGGAATTAATTTTTTTTTTCTTTTTGTCTCTTTTTGCAGAAGTGGTTATGAGCAAGATGTTGAATATGGCAACACTGCTCACCTCGGGGATTGTCACGGTAAGCTTATTAACACGTATCTCTTTTCAAAAACATAAGTTAGTAGTTCTCACGTGAATAACCCACCTCACACTCTCAGCTGTTGGAAATTAACACATCACACGCACATCATACTAATTCCTCTGACAATTAAACATGTACACACACACATTGTTTAGGCCTGAACATTACAGTTAAAGAGCGATACAGCATAAACCAGAGGAAAACACTTTTTTTGGTTATTATTTTTGTAAATTAAACAAAACAGCAGTTTTACAGTTTTATAATTTCTAACTTTTCTTTTTGTTATTTCATAATGATTTCCTGTTCCTTTAATTCTTTTAGAATTTTTGGCCACTACATCAGCGCCAGATTTCAAATCATATGGCGACCCAACCTCTGGTTAGTTTCCTGTACTGCACTGATTTCCTTCCTTGAGTTCATCATTCTCCAAATCTCCCTTTCTTTTCTCCTCTACTGCTGCCACCTGCTTTTAATCCTGTGCTTTTCATCATGCCATCATCATTATCAAAAAAAGAGAGGCACCTGATCTCTCAGCACCAGCTTTTCCGTCATTTCATCCATTCATTCTTTCGTTCTTGCATGAAATATGTGCTGCTTCCACCTTATCGTCTCCCTGGAATATGTTGTCGTCGTCTCGTTCTATTAGAGACAGTCTTCATCCTTTCCCTCCTCTCAGGCTGAAAAAAATTCCTTACCTGAGATTCTGCACAACCATTACTTCCCTGTAATGGTCCAAAAAAATAACCTCAGTCAATCAGATAAACTGACAGTCGTCCTGTCAGTGTTCACTAACCCCGATCGTTACATTACATCTATCTTGGGATCTCCGATTCTTAACAATTTGTTTGTCGCTACAGACATGGAGTTGCCATCTTCATCAGTCACAGTGCCCGCGACTTCTGAACCCATACAATCACCCCAAACCAACCCCACTCAGACACCACAACTCTTTGAACCCCATGGTGACCCAGCCACTTCACATTCTGTTGAGCATATACCAGGTGTGCTGGAGGGTAAGGCCTTGACCATAGCGGTCTGCGCTGCTGCATGGAATTCTGGGTAATAGCTGCAATTTGTATTGCTAATTAGCTGAGATAGTGCATACATTGCTGATAGCAGCCCATTCCTTACAAGAATGGCGTGATAAGCAAATCTGCAGTCAGTCACACTACATTAGCAAAGATACAGACTCCTAGGACACGTGCTCTTGACAACATTCAAGTCAGCGAAAAGCTTAACTATCTTTTAGAGTATTGAACTGATACAAGCAGCTATACTCAGATTCCATCAGCATATAAAGCTTTGTATTATTTCTTCTTTTATGTTTCTATTATTTTATTCTTCACTGTTAGCTTTATTTTATGTATATTTTCTGTGGCATATTTTGTTTAATCTATCTTAAATGGCTACATCTTTATCTTCTTTCATCCGTTTCTTTCTCTGACCATTGTTTTTTGGTTTTAGGAAATCTTCCAAAGGCCTTGCCACTAAGCAACACTTTTAAGCATTCCTCGAGCAACATTATTCACGACTAACTCTTTCGTATATCTGCGGACACTAACAAAACTCACTCTCGGGTACTAAACAAAGACAGTGGGCTTAATTCTCTCTGGGGAAACCCATGTCAAATCACAACATACTAACCGCAACCTATGCGCAATCAAATGATCTAACCTCGTTGCTGTTTTCTTTTCCAGAAATTCTTTCTAGATGTTTTTATCTAAGCTTAATAGTTAACAGAAAACAATAGTCGTATGCTCTTAATTCACACCAAATGGTGGGGCACCTCTGGGGAGGAAAGGACTTTTTGCTTTAAGAGAGACTTACTCAGTGATCAGCTTTGCAAGTGTGTTAACATGCTGTTTGGCTATCTGTGTTGCAGGTGTTTGGGAAATACAAGCAGGTGAATCAAACCAGATGGTGCACATGAACATCCTGATCTCCTGTGTGTTAGCTGCGTTTCTGCTTGGTGCATTCATCGCAGGCATGGTTGTTTACTGCTATAGAGATGCGTTTCTTCGCACTCCACGAAAGATCCAAAAAGATGCAGAGTCGGCACAATCCTGCACTGATTCCACTGGCAGCTTTGCCAAGCTTAACGGTCTGTTTGACAGTCCTGTCAAAGAGTACCAGCCTAATTTGGATACTCCCAAACTCTACACCAACCTGTTGAGCAATGGAAGGGAGGTGCCAACCACTGGAGAAACTAAGACTATGCTCCTGAGTGGGCAGCCACCGGAATTAGCAGCACTGCCTACGCCTGAATCCACACCTGTGCTGCAACAGAAGAGCCTCCAGCCCATTAAGAACCAGTGGGAGAGAGCTCATGGAAAGATGAGTGGCTCCCGCAAAGATGCACCACCCAAAAGCCCACAGTACCTTCCCTCTAGTCCACCTCCCCATTCTGCAATCAATCCACACATACCTAGTGCTGTGGTACTGCCTAATGCCACGCATGAAAACAAAGCAGGCTTCAGCACACCAGAGGGGCCTCAAGCAGAAAAGAAGGTCCAGAATAGTGATCAGCATGGTTCCAAATCCGGACGTAAAGACCAGAGGCGAACAGTGGATGCCAGGAATACGTTAAACGACCTCTTGAAACATCTAAATGATAGCAACCCCAAGGCCATCATGGTAGAGATGCCCAAATCTCGACAGCACCTAATGCTGGAACCTATTGTAAGTCCAACAGAGATTCCACCTAAAGTCCCAAGTCGAGAGGCCTCCTTGTATTCTCCGTCTTCCTCGTTACCAAGGAACAGCCCGACCAAGAGAGTGGATGTGCCGACAACGCCAACGTCGCCCACAGGGCATATGGGAACTCTTGAGAGACAGCGGTATCACCGAGGCTCTTCCCAGCGACACTCCATATCCTCGCCGCCCAAAGGGCTGCACTCACCTAGCGGGGCCATAGTGTCCCGGCAACCTAGCATGAACAGAGGTGGGTACATACCCCCCACTCCTACCCCACCCACTAGACTAGACTCTCATGGGGTACCAATGGCAATGACGCCTTCCGTATCCCGACAGAGCAGCTACAGTGGGCATGGATCTTTACCACGAACATCCATTAAAAGGACAGCATCGCTAAAGCCCGATGTGCCACCCAAACCCAACGGCTTTGCACCACAGACTGCACAAATGAGGCCAGTGAACAAGTATAGCTACTGAAATGCTCAGCAGGATATTACTCGATGAATGGACAGTAGGAGTAAAAGCATTTGCCCTGCAGAGATATGGCGTGCAAGTGTCCTTTTCATTTGAAGGGAAATGAATCGGAACGCCAGAGCTTCTGTTTCGGGTAGTTTTGCTAGTTCTCAATGACGTTGTCACGTCATGCTTGAATGACAGAGGATGGATTCTGATCTTGAAGGCGGCAGGGACGCCTGAGGTCATAGGACACAGCTGACACGCAGCATAAAGCAGCTGTGTAGTTGCTGTGTCGATTGGGCAGCAATTGCTCCCCCTGCACTGTTCTCCCCATCAATGTGAACTGTATTTGTTAGACTGTTTGGAAAATCGGATAGTCTTGCTTGGATATCTCTCAAGAAGACAGAGCAAAAGGGACGTGTCGCGAGTCTGTGTTTGATTAGTCTCCGGGGCTAACCAGTGTGCATTCATTGTCCATGTTCTTTTTTCAGTAAACCGAGAATGAGCTTGAGTCATTGTTGTCATTAAACTAAACCCCATTTAAGGTGCATTAACATCAGATGTGTTTGGACACAGACGTCCACAAGGTAATTAATCATGTGTGCGTGCAAAAGAAATGTCCAAGGCTTTTACTTGGACTACTGATTTTTTAAACTCACAGGGTAAAAGTGCCCTCAACGTTTGTGCTGCTAAGTGTAGACGATGACAATGTTTAACAGACTCCAGTGTGTCGTTTCATGCGGCGGTTCTGCGTGTCAAGCTGCGTCAAGCTTTTAAACCCACAGGCTCAGCACAGGATCACACTGGTCAAATGTACAATGTTCTGTTTGCTCATCCTTAGTTCCAGAAAATCACTGGGAATCCTGTAATCCCATGAAGACAACTTTCAGCTATGACATAATGCAGATCATTGATCAACCTCTCTCCTTTCCTTCATGCCAAACACTACTGTTGCTGGGTCTGTGAAGTTCTTGCTCTAATAATCTTTCAGTTTAGACTATTTCACAGAGCTTGGTTCTTGGTCATAGTATTACATAAAAGTGCAAGCAGCACGTTTCTTACTTCAAAACCCAAACTCCCCAGCAAACAATTTTGTGTTAAATAGATATCTAATAGACATCTAAACGTAGACAGCTTGGCTAAAACAAGGCTAAACTTGGGCATTCAGTAAAAAATCAAATAGACATCTAAGAATAGCCCAAAACTAGACTAGTCATCTAATAGACAGATTAGTTAGACTTTATGGGCTCTATTTTGATGGTCCATGCGCAGAGCGCAAAACGCAGGGCGCAAACGCTTTCAGGGCGTGTCAGGACGCGTTTTTGCTAATTTAAGGATGGGAAATCTGCCTTGCGCCACGACGGATGGTCTAAAAGGGTTGAGTTTATTTTCTTAATGAGTGATAGGTGTGTTTTGAGAATAAACCAATTAGAGTCTCATCTCCCATTCCCTTTAAGAGTCAGCTGCGTCGCGCCAATAGCGCATTCGCTATTTACAGGACGCAAAGTAAGTCTAAGTGGAAAAAATGAGCATTTCACAAGCAAACAGTTAACAGTTTTTTAACAGAAAACTGTTAAACAGAGCATCTACTGCGTGAGAATAAGAGATAATGGAACTACTTTCATATTCGCTCTTGGATAGGGAAACCTTTACGCACAGACATCAGTTAGTCTATAAATAAATAATTTAGTTTGTTTAGCGCAAATATTCGTTTCAAAACTATTTCTAAATTCAGTTCTAATTTCCAGCAAACGAATAAATGAATAATAATAACAAAATGTGCTCAAAAACCTGAGTTATATCCTAAAACACATGCTGTGCCCCATATGGTCTAAAACCTGACAGGTGGGCAAATCTAAGCTTGTTTTTAAAAAAACAAATATAAATATGGATATAATAAATAATACTGCTAATAATAATAACATTATACAAAAGCAAATTGTTCTGAATGAACTGAAAAAGCCTCCCGAGATGAAGAAGACATAAAAGCAGTGATTTTTCATATTTATGTAGGCCAGAAAATAATATGTTTTGTAATATTTTAATCCTTTATATTTATATTCTTTATCTATTCTTATTATATCCTATATATATCCTTAATATTTAATTTTTTCATATGTAAAGATATTTGCCTATTGCTCTCTTGTGCGTATTAAGCAGTGTGTAAGTGAGGCGCAACTCTGCGCCGGAGTTTAGACCGGGTTTGTTTTGGTCTAATGACAAATCTATTATAGTTTCTCAAAATAGCAACACGGCAGCGGTCTGCCTCAGAATGCCTCCCTTTTTAGACCATAACGCCTATGGGCGCACAAATGAGCACTAATGCATTTGCTATTTAAACAGCGTAGCGCAACGCCTCAAAACGACTCTTGCGCCAAGCTGAAACTGCCAAAAGACTACTGCGCCGCGCCTTGCGCCACACTGCGCTGGGTGTATGATAGGGCCCTATATGTGTAGTTGTTCATTTCTGTTTATTTGATGACTAGTCTAGTTTTGGCCTATTCTTTTTTTTTTTTTAATTCCCAGGTTTTACAGGTTGCAATGTCCTGAATTTTGCTTGCCAATTTCAAGCCAATTGTAATGGATTGTTTTTGATTCAATTTGGAATTTTCCCAATCAGCGCAGAGCCCGGGGGACCAGAGTAAGTGCTCTAACTTGGCCCCCCTGCTCCTTTTCTGGCCTATTCTTGAACATCTATTAGATTTTTACTGACAGTCTAAATTTAGCCTTGTTTTAGCCAAGACGTCTATGTTTAGACATCTGTTAGACATCTTTTAAAAACAAAACAAAAAAATACTTGCTGGGTCAACTCCATACTAGACCCTATCTGAGCACTACGCTTCACTCTGCTTGTTTCAAAGAATAGAGGCCTCAATTGCATACTCACAGTAAGTATACAATCACTTAATACCTACCAGTGTGTCTTGCAGAGTCGTGCCAGTGATAGCGTTATTGTAAATATACAACTATTTAAGTGTGGACATTTTTAAGGCAAGTTTACCTGGATCAGTGTATTTGTGTGCCTTATTAAAATCACAAGAGCTTAGTTTGGTTTTGGACAGTGATCAAATGAGTACTGCTTTTGGTTGGCTATGAGCAGGGATGTAACCCAAAGGTAAACTAATCTACAAATCTATGATAAAAAAACCTTACCATTATTCTCAATGCTTGTGGTGGTTACACCTCTGGACGGGGGAGAACATGATGTGACCACGATAATCATTTCTTTTAAATGAGTTTCATGAATGCAGACAAAGATAATAATAACTGCTTAGCTGTTTTCCTATTGCCATTGTGTGTGTACACGTTTCTGGAAGGTGCTAATTTGCAATGATGAGATGCCATGTAATGAATGTATTATTAATTTCATTTATATATCATCTGATTCTCACAATATTTCACAGCATTTGTGACCCTGTACCACAAACTAGTCATGAGTAAATGTTGGACAATTTTTCAAAATTACCCTGTATGGGTCAAGAGGACAGATTTTAGTTTTTGAAATGCCAAAAATCACTTGAATATTCAGTAAAGATCATGTTCCATTTTGCAAATATTGTATGGTAAATATATCGGAACTTAATATACACTGCTAAGCCCTTCATATACAATTTTAATGGTTTTGTCAGTATTTGAACCCTAACATTACAGATTTTTAATAGTATAATATTATGCTGTCCTATGAACTTTATATAATTGGAAAGCTTATGGTGTGGTGTATAAATTTTAAAAATTGACCATTATTTTGTGGTCCAGGGTTAATGTGGGTTCAAATGAGATGTGTTTTTAGATAGGATCATCTAAGATTAGAGACTCGCAGTCTGTTTGAAATGACTTGGAAATTTCAGTATATTAAGGGGAACTTGCCTGTTCAAGCCCAAAGCTCCATGTTTGTTTACATGTTCTGATTGTATTTGAGCAGCTGAACGGAGGCTGATGAATCATCACCTGCTAAAGATTAGTTTTATTAAAGGAGAGAGAGTTGATCCCATGCTCTGGTTTGAGTTGTCCTGTGTTGAGCTGCCTTGTATATTGCAATATAAATCTGCAATCTGACTTCAAGCCTTTACTGTTCGGTCAATACTCTATGTGCAAAGAAACCAGACTGGTCTACCTTTTATTTTTGAATACTGTGCAAACATCGGCAGTTGGAATACAGCTTTTCTTTTTCGGGAATATTTTAATGTGTAGATATTGTAAAGCTGTACTGTGAAAGTGTAAATAATTACAGTCCTTGTTTAAGAATATTTTTGTTGACTTTTTTTAACACGGCATGTATAGTTGAAATAAAATATTACTGCACAGAACGTTCACTTTCTATATTTGTTTAACAAATATGATACTGCTCTGAAACATGCTAGTAGATTCATCAAAACAAATGTACATGGGACACCTAATATTTATGGGACTAACATATGAGTACACCCCTTACAAATCTCTCTTAATTAAATTAATATTTTCTATAGGATGCTTTTACAATAATATATTTTACAAAGTCAAAGTCAGCTTTTTTTTGTCAATTCAACCACATTTACAGAACATATAGAGGATCAAAATTATGTACTCTCAGACCCTAGGTGCCTAACATGTAATATTAATACAAATAGTAGAGTTTTAGAAGAATTTACGATAAATACAATTATATGTAAAATGTAATCTAAAAATATACGTGAAGAATAGAAAATTGTAATGTAAACAATACAATACAATGACATTACGTGCATATGGCAATGATAGTTGTGCAGATATAGAACAGTATATAGTGCAAAAAGACTTGTAGACATGATAAAGTGACAGTGTCATGATATATTTATGCATGTACATTAGATTATTCAGTACAAAAGCCAATTATGGAGGTAATCTAACAAAATAACTTACAATAAAAGTTAAAGTTGTATTAATATGTAATTTATAATAACAATAAATAGTATTAATTAGAAAAAAATAATTAAAATTGTAAAAAGAGGAAAAAAATCAAGAGAAATTATATATATATATATATATATATATATATATATATATATATATATATATATATATATATATATACATATACATATACACAGTTGAAATCTGAATTATTAGCCCCCTTTTGATTTTTTTTTTATATTTCCCAAATGATGACATTGACAGCGCAAAGAAATTTTCACAGTATGTCTGATAATATTTTTTCTTCTAGAAAAAGTCTTATTTGTTTTATTTCGGCTAGAATAAAAGCAGTTTTTAATTTTTTAAAAACTATTTTTGGGACAAAATTATTAGCCCCTTTAAGCTAATTTGGTAAAGCTAAAAACCATTGTTATAGAATAACTTGCCTAATTACCCTGACCTGCCAAGTTCCCCTTATTAACCTAGTTAAGCCTAAATGTCACTTTAAGCTGTATAGAAGTGTCTTGAAAAATATCAAGTAAAATATTATTTACTGTCATCATGGCAAAGATAAAATAAATCAGTTTTTAGAAATAGGTTTTTAAAACTATTATGCTTAGAAATGGGCTGAAACAATCTTCCC